CCCGCCCTCTCAGCGCAGCCAGCACCCTGCCTCCCGCCCCAGCCCACCTGCCCCACCGGCGCTGCTGCGTGGAAGAAGCACCTGGGGACTTTGCCGGGGAAAAGGCGCCGCGCCGCGGCTACTGCCAGTGCGACGTGACAAGCAGCGCCCACTCCCTGCCCACCGCGTAGGGACCAGCCTGCCCGGGCTCAGGTCGGTCTTACTGGGCAGGCAGGACGGACGGAGTGAGGAATCGGGGTCTTTCAATTGCAATTCGGGGCCCCTCTGAGGCTTGGCTTGCAGGACTGAACCCAGAGTCCAATGGCAAACAGCCCCCATTCTCTACACGCCAGTTCCCATTGGAGTCTGTGGGTTTCGCAGGGCGATGTGCAATCATTCTCCCTACAAGGTGTTCATCTCCGGATATTCCACCCTTCTCTGCATTATCTCTTGCTTGTCTCTCTCTTGGGGGTCTGCCTGTCCCCAGGGCTGGCCTATTGTGCGAATTCATCCAGCCTCTGGCACCAGGGATGTTCTCTCATCATCTCCAAGTCTCTCAAGTCTTTTGGACTATCTGGACCGTCCTGGTGCCTTTCTCACACATGCTTCCCTCCCACCAAGCAATGGGCAGGGCATCCCAGACTCAGGGTGACAGAGGGACTAGAAGACACAGCTTGGTTTGCAATGCAGACATTGACTAATCATGACAGAGTGAAATAGAAACCTACAGAACTTATAAGCAAATCCTATGGGACTTGTTACTATCATTATGCTTGGATTCTTAAACCAACACTAAAATACTACATTTTGGCTACACTGCTGCCCAGCACTGGAGGGACCCTTTGGCAAAGCCCAGACTCAGCTCCCTCCACTCTGCAGGAGCAGAGACCCTACATGCTCGGGAAAGACAGACCAGGGAACGAACCTGCACCCTGGACTCTGAAGCGTATTAGTGGCAGCTGAGCCAGACCCCCATCAGAACCTTCCCTGGCCCAATTCATGATGGTTCTGAAAACTGCCATTCGGTGCCCAATTCTCCTCCCTTTCCCATCCCTTGGCATACACTGACTCCCACTTCCCACCACGGCTAAGAGAACAGCTCCCAACTCCCCTCTTCATCCCCAAATCCCTAAACTGTGAAGGACCCAACATAAGGAGGGACCCCATGCCAAAAAGCCAGCTCAAGGCCTGATCCTGCAGCCACTGGTCACTGATTTAAGGCAAGTATACAAAAGGGCTGTGTCTAGACTGGCCAGTTTTTCCAGAAAATCAGCTGCTTTTCCAGAAAAACTTGCCAGGTGTCTACACTGGCCACTTGAATTTCTGCAAAAGCACTGATGATCTCATGTAAGATTGTCAGTGTTGCGGAAATACTATGCTGCTCCCATTCGTTCGGGCAAAAGTCCTTTTGTGCAAAACTTTTGTGCAAAAGGGCCAGTGTAGACAGCTCAGATTTGTTTTCCGCAAAAAAGCCCCGATCGCGAAAATGGCAATCGGGGCTTTTTTGTGGAAAAGCGCATCTAGATTGGCACGGACGCTTTTCTGCAAAAAGTGCTTTTGCGGAAAAGCATCCGTGCCAATCTAGATGCTCTGTTCCGAAAATGCTTTTAACGGAAAACTTTTCCGTTAAAAGCATTTCCGGAAAATCATGCCAGTCTAGACGTAGCCAGCTAGTAAGGGCCCTCTTGGGTTGCTGGCAGATAGATTAGATAGGGTCTATGGGGCTAGGTAGATGTGTATGAGACTGAGAGCTGGGATGTAGGAGAGAGAGGCAGGGGTATCTGACAATTGACAGATTCTCCCCATTCTGTTGGTGTGGCCTTCACACCATTGGTAGTGCTAGAGCAGAGGCTAGGAGTCAGGACTCCTGGGTTCTCTTCCTTTACATCCTTATGCGAGTGTGTGTTTGCATCTTAACTCCCCCATCTGGGAAATGGGGCTAGCAGAACTTCCCCATTATTAGGGGCTTTGAGGCTGAACGTAAGAACGGCCTTCTAGCCAGCATCCTGTCTTCTGACAGTGGCCAATGCCAGGTGCCCCAGAGGGAGTGAACAGAACAGGCAATCTTTCCCACATTCTGGCAAACAGAAGCTAAGGACACCATCCCTGCCCATCCTGGCTAATAGCCGTTTATGGACCTATCCTCCATGAATGTATCTAGTTTTTTGAACCCTGTTTTAGTCTTGGACTTGGCTGGGCAAGTTGTGCGGTATGTGAAGAAATATTTCTTTTGGTTTGTTTTATACCTGTTACCTAGTAATGTCATTGATGACTCCTAGTTGTGTTACAAGGAGTAAAAATAACATTGCCTTATTTACTTTCTCCACACCGGTCATGATTTTATAGACCTCTATCATATCCCCTCTTAGTTGTTTCTTTTCCAAGCTGAAAAGTCCCAGTCTTATTAATCTCTTCTCCTTGGGCAGCCGCTCCAAACCCCTAATCATGTTTGTGGCCCTTTTCTGAACTTTTTCCAATGCCAAGTTACCGGTTTTGAGATGAGGTGACCACATCTGCACGCAGGATTCTAGACACTAAGCTAGGGGGAAAGGTAGATACGCTGCTGCCACATGTAGACGCGGGCAGTTACTTCGAGCTAATCAATTTCTAAAAATGGTGACTGGCCGGAAACATGCAAATCAAGCATGGGATATTTAAATCCTGGGCTTGTTTTGCAATTCCGGTTGCCCTCATTAGCCTCCCTAGATGGATCTAAGGGGCTAGTGTAGATGTACCCCAGGTGATCACCAAGTGATCCACCCAGTTGCCCATTCCCATCTTAAACAAACAGAAGCTAGAGACATTATCTTGGCCCATTCTGGCTAATAATAATTGGTGGACCTATCTTCCATGAAATGTTCTTGTTCTTTTTTAATACTGTTATAATCTTGGCCTTCACAACCACCCTTGGCTAAGAGTTCCACACACTGACTGTGTGTTGTGTGAAGAAATGTTTCCTTTTGTTTTTAAACTTGCTGCCCATTAATTTCATTTGGTGATCCCTAGTTCTTGTGTTATGAGGAGTAAGTACACTTCCTTGTTTACATTCTCTGTTCACATCATGATTTTATAGGCCTCTATCATATTCTTTCTTAGTTGCCTTTTTTTCAAAACTGAAATGTCCCAATTCGATTAATCTCTTCTCAGACGGAAGATGTTTCATACACCTGAACATTTTTTTGTTTCCTTTTTTTCTGAACCTTCTTCATTTCCAATATATCTTTTTAGAGATGGAGTGACCAGCTCTATGGTTCTATGATTCTATGTGAGTGCACCATGGATTTATAGGCCTTACTCTCATGCCCTACTTTGAAGCAAGGAATCACCTTAGCTCTCCCTGACTGTAGTCAGGACTAGTGCTCAGGGCCGGCGCCCCCCCCTCCATGCGCTGCATGCCCGGGGCCGGAGCTCCCCCCCAAGTGCCACGCGCCCGGGGCCAGAGCTCCCCCCCAAGTGCCACGCGCCCAGAGCGCGGGCGGCCAATTCGCGGCGCTCCTGGGGCCG